CATAGCTTTCTAGAGCCAATTTGTGAAGTTTGAGTTGTTCTTGAGCGTATATAGTTTACTCAACATCTACTCTTAAAGAGAGTCTTGTTCTTGAGTGTCTTAGTGTTGTATACACGTTAAGGGAAGCTTGTTTCCCTTGGTTGTACGAAGGAAAGGTATTTTCCTTCGGGTTGAAGTCTTGGAGTGCGGTATCTCCGAGCAAGTGTTGTTGAGGCTCGTGGGACTCGAGTTCTCAGGTTGTAACGGTTTGTTAAGCACCCGTAAGCTTAACAGAAGTAGTGTAGCTCGAGAGAGTCTCTCGGGAGGCTGGATTAGCCACAAGTTGTGGTGAACCAGGGTAAAATTCGGTGTGCCTCTTACTCTTCTCTTTACTTCTCTTTTAAGTTTTTTTATTCCTGCGATTTCTACGATCAAACGCTATTCACCCCCCTCTAGCGTTGGTCACTTATTCTAACATTCTCAACCACCGCAGATATTATGATGAGATGATGGCTGGGAAAGCTCCTATAAAAAGAGAGAGATTTTAATTAGTAGAGATAACTTGTAACAGATAGAGAGACTTGAGTAATAAAAGAATATTTTGGCGGTCCTATAGAGTATTCTGATCCATGGGTAGACCGAATACAGAAGGGGCCCCGGTTTGAGTTACTCCATTGTGTGTTGTGCTTTTTCGTACGACCCATTACACTTTTCTTTTCACTCGCTTACTGTTATAAGGCCTGGATACTAATATTTGGACTTGGACCACCCAACCGTCTTATGAGGAAATATCAGGCACCCATCACCGGCGCCATCCGTGGGACCGATTGAAATTCTCAGCCTTCTAGAGAGTTGATAGTGAGCCTATCTCACGTTCTATGCATCCGACGAACCTTTTTTGTCCGTATGACAATTAACGGTCCACCAAAGTGCAAGAGATAGACTAGCAGTCCATTCAGGAGGATCGTTTAAACAAATCGGTCCATCTTTCCATTTAGGAAAAGTTTCATTTTGCCATTATGGGCAAAAATCGGTCCAAGGGGAACAGGACCACTGCCAAGGCTTGAGCCAGCTTGGAAGGGAAAGGGGAACTTTCGCCACAAGATCTCAAGCATGAGATAACCTTGTCCTGATCCAAGCATGAGACGCCATAGAAGTCTTATGAACGGAGTTTATATTCCAAGGCATCCAAGAGCTCCCATCCGGTCCCAAAAGGGTCCCACGTAGCGTCAGAGAGGTTTGATGCTAACTCACACCTTGTCCGCAAGCTAATCGGATGGCTTAACAAGGAAGAGGAGGTCCGGTCCCAAGGGACCCAAAGGGAAGCCAGTCAAGGAAAGGGTGAGGAAGTAGGAAGCTAGGGATGCATATCTGTACACAAAAAATGCAAAGGAATGCATCCCAAAGATTGGGACCACGAACTGAGGAGATTGGGGAAAGCTCCGGGTGCCGCAACGAAGATGCAAGAGATATCCTCAAGCTGAGGAAGGATATGGAGGAGCTAAAGAAACAAGTAGACAAAGACGGGTCATTTGGGCTCATTGTGGAGGTAATTTCTCTATTTACTGTTAGAGTGATGAAAGCCAAGCTGCCTAGGGGCGTGAAGGCCCCCGATATCCGTTATAGGGAAAATTACGGATCCCAATGATCATCTGGATGCATATCAAACACATATGTTGATGCATGCCATGAAGGATAAGATCTAATGTTGTCTCTTTGTGGGGACTTTTAAAGGACCGGCCATAAAATGGTTCCTTACCCTTCCAAACGGCACCATTGATTGCTTCAGAGACTTGGCTCAGCTCTTTCTCAATGCATATGGAGGAAGGTTCCAGCCAAAGAAGCACTTCACCCATCTATTCTCCCTAAAGCAGAGGGAGGGGGAAATTAATACATAGTTTGTGCAAAGATGGAATGAGGCCATCAATGAAGTAGATCCCATGGATGATAAGACTCCCATTGCTCTCTTCATGAGCATCTTGAGGTTTGGGGAGTTATTCAGGAGGTTAGATTATGACACCCCACTTCTTACAAAGCTATGATGGCAAGGGTCAACAAGTTCTCTGCCACGGAAGAATCAGATCGCTTGAAAAACAAGAACGAGGGGACTTTGCATAAACTCTTAGAAAAAAGAATGAGAAGGCCAAAACATCCACCATCTACATCCCTACCCTTAAGCCATTGGTCCTGGGAGAGGCTTCCCAAGTGCTAGAGATTAAGGGTAAGGAGGAGGGTGGACAAAAGAGAAAACATGGGGACCAAAAGAGGAAACAGTGGCCCTATGACCTTGCCAAATACTGCAATTTCCATAGGAAGACGGGACATGCTACAGAAGAGTGTGTCTTCCTCAAGAAAATGGAGGACCGAATGAAAGAAAGGGGGCCAGTAGTGAACCAAGAGCAAAATCAAGCGGGCAATGTTTGGCGTGGGGACGCTTAATCACAGCAAGCCCAAGAAAACCCAGAAGGAGTCTCCCAGGTGGGAGTCATCTTTGGCGGTCCAGAGACAGGAGTCACCACCAATGAAAGGGCCCACAGATTATATGTGGGGTCCATTGATGTTGGTCAGAGTTCTAAGAAAGGGAAGAGAGAACCCATTGTATTCTCAGATGAGGAGTTAACGCTCACCCAAAGGCCGCATTTGACTCCCCTGGTAATCTCTATGGCCATTCATAATTTTTTTGTGAAATGAATATCGGTTGATATAGGGAGTAGTGTCAATGTGTTGTATTGAGAAGTGGCCTAACACCTTGGAATTAAGAAGGGGGACCTCACCAAACTTAATATGCCCTTGTCCAACTTCACCGGAGACGTTATTGAGCGAGAGGAGTCCATTAAGCTAGACGTGAGAATAGGCGAGCATCCTAAGGTGATGAATATGAAGATGGACTTCGTAGTGCTCGACATCAAGTGCGCCCACAACGCAGTTCTAAAGAGGCCTGGATTGGAAGACTTAGGAGGAGCCCTCTCCCTTGAACATTTATGTTTGAAGTTCAGGACCCGAGAAGGCATTGGAATGGTGCTGGGCGATCAACCTGCAGCTAAGAAGGCCTACTTGAGCGCATGCAGAAGGATGGATACGGACAATTTCAGCATTCAAACCATCAGACAAGCCCTGGAAGAAGAAGAGAGAAAGGAGGAGAGCCGGGAGAGGCCCAAACCAGCAGTAGAAACCAAGGAAGTACTTTTGTTCCCAGATGGAGATCCAGGGAAGGCACTGAGGATTGGCCTAGGGCTAGAGAAAGATACCTGCAAAGAGATTATCAGAGTATTACGAGAGAACTTGGTCCTCTTTGCGTGGGAATCTAAAGACATGTCCGGGGTCAATCCTTCCGTCATCTTTCACAAATTGAACATCAAGCCAGATTCCCATCCGGTCATACAAAAGAAGAGATATCTTTCCAGAAACCGGAAGGAATTTTTAAGAAAAGAGGTGAAGAACCTTTTGGAGGACGACCACATCAAAGAGGTCCACTATCCTAAGTGGCTCGCTAATCTGGTGTTTGCACCAAAAGGAAACACCTTTCGCATGTGTGTGGACTTCACGGACCTCAACAAGGCCTGTCCTATGGATCCTTTTCCATTGCCAAGGGTGGACCAGCTTATAGATGAGACAGCGGGCCACGAATTATTGAGCTTCATGGACGCCTTTCGAGGATACCATCAAATTATCATGCCCAAAGAGGACGCAGAATCTACAGCTTTCATCACCCCTGAAGGAGTGTACTCATACGTGTACCCTATTATTCAAAAATGTTAGGGGTAAACCACAAAGTGTACCCAAGGCTTTTATCACGCAACTCTTCTGTATATTGGTGGGCTTTGCACAGTTGGCAACACAAGGAGTGTCAGCAGGTAATACCCGAGTTTGATTCCTGGCAACTACGCTGGGAGGCAACTATGCTAAACATATGACCTCTACAGGTACCAAGTGCATGCTTCACTCTTTGTCATCAATTTGCGATCCTTTTTTTTATTGTTGCATGAATAATACTCGGGGATGGAGCTCATCCTTTTTTTGTTATTGCATAAATCATACTCTCTCCGTCCCAATTTAAATTGTCTGTTTCGTTTTACTATGTTTGCTTGAAATTATTTTTAAATCATTTTGAGTGAAAAATGGTGCAGAATTAAAAAATAAAAATTACATATTTAAAAACTACTTAAAGATCTAAAAAACTAGTAGTGACATGCCTATATTATTTTACCAAGTAACTAACAAAAGAAAGAAAGTGAATGAAGTTTGACAATGTGAATAATAAACATACAATTTAATGTAGGACGAGGGAGTAGTTTTTAGACAATAAATATTTTCTACATCTAAGACCTTATTTTTAGGATGGAAAACACACTTTCGTAAGTCTCGGATAGACTTTGGGGCGAAATTAGATCTTAATTGGGTAAAACTTGGACCTAAAGTTTCTTTTTGGACAAGAGTTAATACAAGTTAAAAAGTGAAAGGAACGGAATCCGTTCATTCACACGCCCCGTCTCTCTCTCTATTTAGAGAGAGAGAGAGAGTTTCGCCGGTTAGAACACTTGACCACCCATAAATATTTATACTTAAAAAGACTTACTTTTAAATTTTAAGATGGTATAATATGCACAAGAGTGAGTTTATGACAAAATTGATAGAGGTGAAAGAAATATTAATGTTTAAGATTTTATATGATCTTTAATTTGTAACATAAAGTATATTATTATGTAATAAGTATTTAAAATGTGATATTTTTGTTGAAGCATCCATATTTTGTAATATTCGGTTATTTTAATACCGATTATTTAGTTTTCACAAAGATTTAAAAAGTAGTGATATTAAAAAGATATTTTAAAAAAAGTTTAAATATATCAATGATTAGCTGATTTTCTTATTTTACTTTTTTTCTATGTATATATGAATTGTAATACTCTAAAACTAGTAAAGTTTGTAATAATTTTAAGTTTAATTTAAATAAAATTTAAATTTATTTACAACAGATCTAATTATATAAAATCATATGCAATCAGATCAAATCAAATACAATCAGATCAGACTTAATTAGATCAGATCAGACCCAATCAGATCAAGTCTAATCAGATCTAATCGGATCAGATCTAATCAAATAAGGTCAGAACTTCTTCAAAAATTCAGAGCAGATTCAATCAGATTAGGCGAACGGAACATAGCCTAAACCCCACCCCGCCTAGGGATGTAATCAAATCAAATATTTTAAATTCGATTCATGATTCGTATTCGAATATGATGACTCGAATTCGCGTTATTCAAATACAAATTCAAATTCAAATATTAGTTTTGATTCGAATATTAAACAAATACAAATACAAATAGAGGTGTATTCGATTGAGATGATATTCGAATATTCAAATATATTTATATACACAGACCATGTTTTCAACATCAGTAATCAAGCAAACTAGTATAATAGAAATTGCATTTAAATTACTAAGATGTCATGATATTAACGTAATACAAAAATTTAAAGCATGCAATTTTTAATAGTTATATTTTATAAAATATAATTTGTATAAGACAAAGATGTATTAATATTTTTAGATATGGTATAAAAAATATTATAAGTTAAATTATTCAAAATCGACATATAAATTGCGGAGTATGATTATTCTAATATTCGTTAACTATTCGAATATTAATCAAATACAAATACAAATCTTATTTTAAATTCGTTTTATATTCGTATTCGGATTCGTATTCGAAAAAATTATTCAAATACAAATTCAAATATTATGATATTCGCTTCGATTCGATTCGTTTATAATGTGTCCCCGCCCTAGCCTGAACAAGCCCCTCTCCCCCCTAACTGCACCCCAATTAGACCGATTGGTACTAAACGTTATACCCAGCGAAAATTGAGGCCCAATCTTTCCTTTCTCCCGCTTCTCATCTCGCAGCCTCCGAGATTCAGGGTTAGGGTTTTCGCTTAGCTCCTCTTCAACTTTCAATTGCTCTTGTTGGCCGATTACTTTGATCAATTATTCAGTGGTTGTTAATATGGGTAAAAGAGAAAGAAAGCTGAAAGCGAACCCATCATCACCACTATCTGAAGATCAAACTAAGGAATCTGAAGCAGCCCGCGATGCAATGGGCAGCGACGATGATGCGGAGGCCAATGAGGATCTTAGTTTGAGAATCGTGGAGACAGCCATGCAACGCGCCAACTCCTTGAAAAATGGCGCCGATATGGAGCCTATGAATGTAGACAGCAAGAGGAGCAAGCAAGAGAATAATAAAAAGAAAAAGAAGGGCAGAGACCGCGAGTTGGAGGAGAAACACGTCATTGCGCATGACCTACCTGTAATTATCAATTCTTGTAGCCATTTCATTTTGCTGAAATTTACTTTTTACTTGAGCTATTTGGATTCGTCGTTCAGGCTCCTCGTGAAGTGCTTGTGGCTTGTCAAAACTTTTGCAGCAACGTAGTTGGGGTAAATTTCAGTTTAGAATGTTTCTGTGTTATGCTGTTGCCTTGCTCTTCATCTGCTCCAATTATCTTTAGAACTGAAAAGGGAAAAAATTGCTCGTATATTTTTGGTGGCTAAGAAGGTTGGAATAAAGAACTTGCTTATCTTGACACTTCAAAGTGGTTATTTATTTATTTATTTATTTATTTGCATACATTCCATGAGAAGGGTATCTGAGTCACACACATCAACAAAAACATTTAAGTGAACAACACAATCAAACACAATCCTAAATTCCCAACAATGTTGGGGTCTAGGGGGTTAAGATGTACACGAGACATAGCCCTTGATGCATTTACTACCCAATGTTTCATAGAAAGTAAGAAGTAAAGGAAGTTAATGAGTCAATTTGATTTAGTCTGTTATTTATCTAAATCTAAAACTAAAACATTGCCAAAAATGACAATTGCTCTTTTAGCTCCACTGGCATTGCATTATTAGCAAAATTGTGTTCATGAACTCTAAGGCTCTCTTAAATTGCATTGGAGAATGGAGTTGTGAGGAATATTGGCAGGAGTGTGTAAGGTTCATGCCCAATGAATAACTCTATCTGTCCTAAAATGAAGTTTACACTTTCATTTTTTAGATGTCCTAAAATGAACTTTACAGTTTTTCACTTTGTGGAGCTTATCGTTTCTCTCTCTCCTAAATAAATTTCAACCACACATTTTACTTTTCACCAAACACCTTTCACATTCCAACGCTTTTCTAATATTTTGTGAATTCAAAGGGTAAAATTTATTTTAGGACAGAGGGGAGTACTATAGAAGAAAGTTCCTTGCATCTTTTGAATTCACCAGCAGAATTGGACTGTTGTAAGTTAAAGATAACACCCGGCTTCATGTAGTCTGGATTTGTTTTCTTGTTTGTCCAACGACAAAGTTTTGAAATAAATATGAATATGTTTCTCATGTTCCTTATCTTTGTCAAGAATATATATTTAGTAGTCTTCACTCTTCACCAAGTTAGCCCAAAGGTCGTATCAAAGTGTTTCTTGAGCATGCAAAAGTCTTGTATTTACCTGTATAATATATATGTAGGTGTTTTGCTTGCTAGAAGGATTTATATTTATGAAATATCTATAAAGCTCTTGTTATTCAACAGAAAGAAAAAGATTTCTGCAGGGAATGAATGAGTTAAAAGTTTAAGGTTGTGTTTTTTCTCCGGTTCGTGGTGTGTTCCTGTTTGCTCATTCAATTGGGAATCTAGCAGCTCCATTTTGGAGATGTTAGACATTATTGTAGTTTTTCAGCTACAATACCTATCTTTTTTCAAAAAGTTTTCAATTATATTGTTTTTAAAAAGACCTACTTTTATCCTTCTCTGAAGATTCTTCTACTTTTTAAAACAATACCCTTATTAGTAATCGTATATTACGACAACTACAACTCAAGCAAACACCGAAAGTACAGAATTTTCTTAAGAGCTGTCTTACCAGCAACTAGTACAACTACAGATGCAAACAACTCAAATAAACGTCCCCTAAGCTTGCAATAATTGTGTTATTATTCCATTACAATTGATTTTTTTATTCTATCAGGAGGATAGGAAGGAAGATGATAATGGAAGCACTATCAAAACAATGGAGAATGTCAACAACATTGTTGAAACAGATCCTTCTGAAATATCAGATAATGTAGTCCTGCGAAAGCTTCTTGTGAGTTGAAGTAATGTGGTTTGTAATAATGTACTTGCCAAAATGCAAGTAATATGTTTATGCCTCAGTGATATTTTGTTACTGTTATTCATCATCTTATTGTATGATCACAGCGTGGACCAAGATACTTTGATCCCCCAGATAGTACCTGGGGAACATGCCATAATTGCGGTGAAGAGGGTCACATGAGTGTCAACTGCACTGTGGCGAGACGCAAGAAGCCATGTTTTTTGTGTGGCAGTTTGGAACATAACATTAAGCAGTGTACGAAGGTTAGTAGGAAAATGATGTTATTTGATCTCTCCCTTTACAAGTCAAGAAACTAAATGTTAGGTATAACTGCCCACATCTACATGTCCCATTTGGTTATCATTCTTAAATTCTACGTGTCAGACTGTTTAATACTTGTTTGACATGCATCCCTACTGGTTTAGTACTTCTTCAAATCCATTTGGTTTACTCAAGGTAGGCATGCATGCCTACTTGTTTACTACTGTTCTATTTGATCACTGGGCCTTGAAACAAATATACTGTAGTAAATTGTATTGTAAGAAACAAGCTTTTTTGGGGTGAAAACAATAATCTTTCCGTGTAGTAATGCATATGTATTGCACTGTATGACATCATATAAATGGAATTCTTGCAAACTGTCTCACTATATCTGTCTTAACTTGATGCTGATCATTGGTAATTGACAAGAGAAGGTGGTTTTCCTATCTCTTTCTTCTCACATGGACATAGGTCCTGGATGGAAATGTATATTTGAGAGTTTGCTGTATGCATAGAGTCAACTAACTAGCCTTTGATAGTAACTTTTGTTTGCATATCTGATGTCTCTAGAATAAGGAAAGATTCTAGTGTTAAATGCTGTGTTTTATGGCAGTAGGTAATATTGTGATATGCTTATTGCTGAACTACTGAAAGAATTCAGTGTTAAGATTTTGTTGATTATTATTACTTGTTGAAAGTGCATGATTCTTTTACAGTAAAACATTTGTACGTTGGTCACATCTCTATCATTGGACAGGGAAAAGATTGTTTCATTTGCAAGAAAGAAGGCCACCGAGCAAAAGATTGCCCTGAGAGAAACAATGGAGGTTCTTGGAATTCTAAAATATGTTTAAAATGTGGGGATTATGGACATGATATGTTTTCATGTCACAACAATTACCATCCTGACGACCTCAAGGTCAGGGTTTCTCTATATATGCATTGCTGGGTATTTTGGCATCATTCATTGAGTAGCTTTGTTTTTATGCTCACATTATTGATATCTCTTCTCGTTGTTGTCTTTGGCAGGAGATACAATGTTACATTTGCAAGAGCTTTGGCCATCTCTGCTGTGCTGACTATCCTGATGGTCCAAGCGAAGTTTCCTGTTACAGATGCGGTACATCAGGCCATACTGGCTTGGTTAGTATCTTAAATGTAAATTTGCCACAAAAGCTTCTAGAAAGGTTCTGCTACTCAAATTGCAGCCAGAAGCTGCCAAAAGTGTGTTTTCTTGGCAGAACCGTAGATGATGATAGAGTATCTTCTACTCCTGTCCCACTGTTTTTGTCCCTTTTTATCCTTTTTGCTTTGCCCCCCATGGTTGTTTAGTCGACAAGTCGGTGAAGAGGAGACTAGTGGACTAGTCGACGAGTTGGCCTACTAATCGTAAACTAGTCGACAAATCACATTTAGTATTGAAATTGTTAACATTATATATATCTTCATTGACCCAAGATAACTATTTATATTTATATGACAAAATATCATTACCAAAACAAAATTATGTTTAAAAGTAGCACATAAAGTCACACAACGGAGGGTACATAAGAAACAAATATCCTTCACTCTTCAAAAAGAACACACCACCAAAGATAATAAGCACCAAGAGAAGTCGCCACCCAGAAAACGACTAGACGACTAGTCGGCGACTAGTCGACGACTTGATAACAATGTTTGCGCCATTCCATATTTGGTTATATCTGTGTTGATTAAATTCATTCTTACTTTCTCTTACTTTTTAACATCAATATTAACCACACAATTTTACTTTTCTCACTTTTTGTGCCTTCCCAATGTCCCAAAAGTAGTGGAATGGAGGGAGTATGAGTTTTCCTTCAACATGATTGTTGAATGGTGATGTTTGTCTACGTACTCTGTATCTTGTCAGATACTCCTATTTAGTAAGTTGATGCATATACCTCTAACCTCCCACTCTGAGCCCATGTTCTATTTGTTTTTTTTAAAATGCAGGCATGCTCTGGAAATTGGGGGGAGAGTAGTGGGATGGGATCGCCTTATACATGTTACAGATGTGGTGAAGATGGTCATTTTTCACGGGAGTGCACTTATAACAGGGTATTTTCTAGTCTTTATCTCCAATTCCAACTTGTCTATGCTATTAGTGGTGAGATCTGATTTTATTACTTTTCTATTACATTGCTTCTTTATTAGGGTGGTAATAAAAGGAGCCGTGAATTATCAACACCCAAGAAGAAAGCATCTAATCACATGAAGGAAGAGCATATGGGATCCTGGTCTATGCCCGGTGATTTTGTCAAGACATGTAAGAAGAAAGAAAAATATGAAGATTACTTTACACCAGACCGTAAAACAAAACGAAGGGGAGGTTGGATCATGGACGATGACCCTGGGGATTTCTCAGGATACAATGATAGTTGGAAAAGTCATGCTTCTAGCAGTAATAAATCTTGGAAATACAGCAACGGTAGCACCAATGGCCATGCTTCCAATCCATGGTCCCCAAGAAAGTCCCGTACGACTAACTTTAGCCATTCTCATTCATCCGGTTCGTCCAAACACACCCATCACAGGTTTTTGGCCTCCAGGTTTGGGGATTATAGTCACGGCGAGATGAGAAACCGCGATTGGTAGTGAAAAGGTCTATTTCTTTTGGCCATCATGAAAGATATAGCTGTTGTGTGCTGCACGCCTGCACACCATCATGGTCAGTGCTTGTTTTAGGTGAAAACAGAAGAAACACTAGGCATGGCTGACCAGAAATCTGGACATTTTATTAAAGATTAACTCCCATCCTCTTATTCGATTCTGTTTGTTTTTTTAAATTTATTTTATTGGGTCCAGGCAATTGTAATTTATACAGTAGTTTTCGGTTTTAACGTCTAAAAGGGGAGTCGCTTTTGTCCCTTATTTTCATGTTATATATATATATATATATATATATATATATATATATATATATATATATATATATATATATATATATATATCAATCAACGGTTGTAGCCATGCGTGTAACATTTGTATCGTTGAGGTCTTGAGGAGCTTTGCTTGTAGAATAAAAAGTGCTTTACTTTTGCCTAGTTATGAGATTATGATGGGATTTGGTATCTTTTAGAGTCAGTCTTAAAGTATCAAACGTTTTATGGGAGCAAGGATTGGATAAGAATGGCACCATTTTCATCAAAAGGGAAGGAAATAAAAAAAAACAGTTTGCCAGCGCAAGAAAGGGTCATATGCTATGCTATGCTGTAAACAGTAATGTGTGGCTATAGTACATTTGTACTTGCGTGCTTGGACAGCGATGGGGGTTTTATTTGGTCAGAGGAAGACAAGATGGTCCTGCCAAATGAACATATTACCCCACTCAGAGTACACATACCCTTTGGACCATCTACAGGAATTGTGTGGCTTGAAGCCGCCTAGGACTTCTAGTGATGAGCTTAAGGACCGGATTTGTCCTTCAACGGATTGGTGCTATCCAAAAATCTTGCCTAACCAGTTCTCTCTGTCTTTCCTTATAGTTATAATAAATGGAGTTATACATTATTTTATCCTAATATCAATTCTTCTATCAAAAAGTTAAATTCCCTAATAATAGAACAAAGAAGAATTGGTACTCCCTATATATGAAGAAAGAACAACAACAACAATCCAGTTGATTCTCACGAAGTAAGATCTGTGGAGTGTGTGTGTACGCACATCTTGCTCCTACCCGAAAGTAGAGAGGTTGTTTCAAGTTGCATATAAAAAAGGTCATAGTAGATACATAAAACAAAGAAAGCACGGATACAACGCAAATTAAACACCAAGGACACGCCACTAAACTAAATTAAATATAATAAAGTTACAAAACAAAGGTATTTCAAGCGCATAGCAAAAAGCACCAAGCATAAAAGGCCTACAAGGCACACAACAATAACACCACTAGCTTAAGGCACCTACCCAGCTAATTTAATTCTATGTCTCTAAACACTCTTATCTAAGGCAATATTCTCAGCAAGAGTAAGAAGTCCAAAGTCCTTTCTAATCAGCTCCTTCCAACTCTTCCTAGTTCTACCACTTTCCCTACTTATGAGGAAATGATATCATTGTTAAGGTTGATTGTCGTAAATATGATACTATGTACTCGGTATTTTTTTGCAGGGATAATGTTTATTTTCCTATCATGTATGTTTAATTTTTTTATAAACACTAATAATTCTATTACAGTGTAGTACATCAGTTCATACATATTTTTCTCAATTTATTTAAGCACATAAAGTTTGTTGTCCACACTAGAGTTTGAATTTGTGACCTTGTATTTGGGAGAACTAGTTGGACCACATTATGTGTGTATTTATAATCTATATACGTAGCGGAGTAAATCTATTTTAACACCAAACTTTAATACCATGTGTTTTATATACATGTACTGTCAATAATGAATTGTCTACACATGATGTCAAACTTTGGTATGACTAAAGTATGATCCATATATCTACTTAAGAATTCATTGATATTCTGCATAGCTACATAAGCTGTTTCATAATATTGTGATATACTCCCTCCGTCCTATAATGTTCTTCCCGGTTCTGATTCTGAGATTTGACCAACTTTATTTTCAATTCAATTTATTTGATTGTAGGTGTAAAATTAAAAAATAAAATTTATATATTTAAAAACTACATCAAAAGTTATACAAAACAAGTGGTGACAAGACTATATTATTTTATCAAATACCTAATGAAAATAGGTAAAGAAAGCGATTAAAGTTTGACCGTGTGAAAAGTAAGTGGAAAGAACATTTTAGGACGGAGGGAGTACTCCATAGACGAAGGAGCCTGGGGGAGAGGCGAAAGAGGGGCAGATTAGGTAGAGGGGCATTTCATCTTGCATACCCTGGGAAGAATACTAGCCTAGAGATAGATACCTCTGTAGGTTTTTAACTTTTTTTCCTTAAAACCTCGCCTCGCACTCTCTCTCATTAGACCGGGAAATTTTTTATAACTGCCCAAAACATATGGAATTTGAAATTACCCGATCCCGTTTGATATTCATCTCAGCATGTTTTGTGCCCAATGGATCGTCTTTAAAAGTTACTCCCTCCATCCTATAAAAGTGACTTTAAAAATGAATAATTTTTGTGTTATGTACTAATTATGTCAAAGAACCCATTCAACCAAAAATTTAAGCTTGTGGTTGTGGCCCAGGAACAGTTGTTTAAATTCTGACACGCCCCCTCACATGCAGGCGTATGCTTTTTCGAACCTTGCACGTGAAACCTTAAATTTTTTTAAACTGGGTGTCGCTGAGTTTCAAACCCGTGACCTCTTAATCAACGAAGCTCTGATACCATGTCAAGGAACCCATTCAACCAAAAGCTCAAGCTTGTGGTTGTAGTCCAGGAACAGTTATTTATATTCTGACAAATTATGACTTTTCTATCTTATACATTTTATCATATTCTATTATAAAATAAGGGAAAAATTTAAAAATAACACCAAAATTTCTTATTTTAATGGTGCGCCATTTTTTTAAAAAAAGGTTTTATGGGGCGGAAAGAGTAAATTCCATTAATATATTGAAAAATTGTATCCGTAAAAAAATTATTTTGAAGAGTGTACGATTCTCTAATGTGAAATTTGCACTAAATAGTACTAAAATGTTTGTCCTTTCCCAATGTAGTATTTAAACTTTTTTATTCCTTAAACTGTACTTGAATAATGTCTGGTGGTGGAAACAATGTCTAGTGATGGTGGACATTTAGTTTGAATAATTCCAGTAGCAGTGAACATGCATTTACTTGAACAATGACCAGCGAATATTGAATAGTGGTACTACATTGAAAAATAAAAACATATGTTACTACATTAGAAAAGTCCTTATGTTTTAGTACTATTTAGGTAAATAGTATTTCACAAAATATACATACTTGTATTTCTAAATAAGTTGAGAAATGAAATTCCTTTTTTTTGTATTTAGAAAAAAAATAAAAACTCTTTTTCTAGGATGAAAAGTAGTTCACAAACATGATAGGGAGTTTTTTTCTTTATAGAAAGTAAATACTCCATCCGTCTCAGTGTATTTGTCCAGTTTGACTTTTTCGAGTCAAACTGGACAAACTTTGAGCTTTAATTAAATAAAAATTGTAATGTATTTTAACATAAAAATGACTTTAATAAATTTATCGTATTGAGAACTGTCAAAATTGTATTTCATTATGTTAATATGCAATATAAATTGAGAGTAATTGGAGTTCAAAGTATGTCCAGTTTGACTCGAACAAGTCAAACTGGACAAATACCTTAGGACGGATGTAGTATTTTGTTTTAGCTTCATAAAAAAAATGAACTCGGTACATTTAAGTTCTCTCCGTAAGATCAACTTGTGAAGTCAAATTAAAGTTTATACTATGTCTACCCCAAGGTTTGTACCCCAATTTGTACCCCGCAGTTTTGCACCAACACTTTGTGTTGGTGCAAAACTAATTTTTGTTAAACGCACCAACATTTGTGTCCGTGTGAATATTTATTAACGCACCAACACTTGTGTCGGTGTAAACTATCGAAATGTTTGTGCAAGCCTGTGGTGTACAAATGGGGTATATTTTTTGGTGTAAGTTTAGCATGGTCCATTAAAGTTACATTTTGAAGACGGCAGGCTGAGTTTCGGCCAGGTGAGTAGGCCATATGAATTGTTCCAAGGTCAATCATTCATGTACTCCCTTGCTTTTAAATTAATCTTTTCACTTAGGGTCCGTTTGGTATAAGAAATTAGTGGAACTGGAATTGAATTGAAATTAAAATTCCATGAGATTCAATTCCATAGAATTGAATTCTGTCAATTTCAATTCATTTTTTGCACTATCAATTCCAAATCCACATAATTTTTGTGCTACTAAACACCAGAACTAGTTTTTGGAATCGATATAAATTAATCTTTCAAAACATAGTTTTTGTTAAAAGAAACTGCAAATGGTGTGCTATCGTGTAGATACAATATGTATTATGGATTGTACTTTGTAGTTTATGTATTGTGGGCCCATTGGGCTTTAACTATAAACCCTAATCCCGTCTCATATATAGAGACGTTGGACAATGAAAAAGTAAGAGAAGAGAGTCTTCCTTCAACACGTTATCAGCACGAGCGCTAACCCTAATCTCTTTTGGCCGCTCTTTCTCCTCTGCCGCACAGTTAGCCGTCCTTTCTCCTCCGCCGCCGCACAGATCGCCACTCTTTCTCCTCCGCCGCACAGATCGGCACACACCTTTACTATCCCCGATCTCCGCCTGGAGGAGTAGAAGCAGTGTAGCCATCGACGATTTGGCCGCCAGCCCACCACTCTTTAGCACCGCCCCCCTATCAGGTTCTTCATTATCCATTTTGTTATCAATAAAGCATCATATGGGTTTACATTAGATTATTCATGCATATCCAATTTTGTTTTCATCATTGCGTTAGTATGTGCGTTCTTAATCTTGTTTACACACCTATGTGATTTCTATATAATCTACATATATAATGATATTTTTTTTAATAAAATATTATATGCCATGTATGGATTTTATATATTGATATTAAAATCAGCATACACCCATTTTTGGATCTTATGTGCGTATGAATGTCTGACATTTTTTATGACATGTACAAATTTGGAAAATATAAAATAAACATTAATATTGTGTTGGTTTTAATTAATTTAATTTTTCCAATTTACTCCGATCCGTAAATTTTGTGGGCAGTTGGTTTCAATTTTGTGATGGGTTACCTTCGTGACTCTGTTTTTTTAGCAATATGGCTTCTAATTAATTTCCCATCAAAAATAAACATTTTCTGATCTTTAACTATGAATTAGATGTACTACTCTATTCTGTATATATTCTATAGTTCGTACTACAAGTATATTTGTCCTATA